ACACACACACACACACACACACACACACACACACTTTTACTTCATTTCTAACCCTGGCATCTGTAACAGCTATAGCAGCATAACAGTAAGAGAAGTTACAGACATATCCAGTATTTATTCATCCCCACATGTTGGCAAAGTCCTTGGGGTTTCAGAATTAGCTCTTTCACCCTTTTAAACAGAAGAAAAAGAAAAAAAACAGAATGTTACAAATCTGGCAAGGAGCATATAAAAATATCAATCCAGACCCTCATCAGAGCAAGGCAAATAACAATGTGCAGATTTTATTAAAAGCTGAAAAAAAGCTCTTTCCCACAACTGAGGAACTTTAAGCCAAAAATAACCAAGCCTGAACTCCAGCTTTGCCTGTGGTAATGAGCTGTTCTTCCCTTAGTGGACTATAGAGAATTGTTTGTTTCACCCTGTGTTGCACTCTGTTCGCTGAGATTTGTCAATTAAAAATATATTGCACTGACCAAAAAAGAAAACATTTTCTTTAGTAACCAATGAATTATGACTTACCTCCATGCCCCAATTTTAGGTCATTTTCTAAAGTAAAAATAACATTTTATGGATGGATGCTTTTCTATGCATGGCGCTTCCAACTGCCATTCATCTCCAACCAAGAAGCAAAGGTCACTTGATCTCGACTTCTCACAATTCTTGATCAGGCCAAAGGCAAGTTAAAGGTAAAATTCCATTCAGAGAGCTTCCGAGTGTTTTTTAATTGTGATATTCTCTCCCCTCACAGCAGGCATATGTAAATGACTTAACCTGACAGCAGTAAGAAGAGAAAGGTCCCACAACCTACAACACCAACATTTATGCTAAAGAAGACCTTTGGAAGTCAGTGGCCCACTACTGCGATCAGTGGGATGGGCCATTAGAGGCTTGTCTGTGCTACATCAGCCATGTTTCTTGAAGCGGATGAAATTGAAATTAGGCCATCCTTCTCTCCAGCACCTTCTCTCACACCCACCAGAGACCAAGTGCTAGGGATAAGTGCAGAGTAGTCTCATGGACAAACTTATGACTCTGGAGTGCATCAGTGGACTCAGGTAAGTGATGCACATTCAGTCCTATCTTTCACAAGCCCTGCTGCTGACATAATGTAGACATGCCCATGGCCATACCCAATAGGTCAATAGTGGATCCGACCAGAAGCTTCTCAGTCACTGCTAACTCGGACTAAATTTCATTTGGATGAATCAAAAATCTCATTTTTAACCTAGACTAATTATGAATAGTGGGATTACACTTAATTTACCCTGGTGTAAAGGAGAACAGAATCTGGCCCACTGGGAGTTCACCGTGCATGAAGACTAAGTTAGGACAAGCAAAGTTAGGCCATAAAAAAGCAAGACATTAGACCCAAGATCCACCATATGGATCTAAGAAGAGTAAGGCAAAGGAAAAAAATGGGGAAAATGTGGCCCAGTTCAAGCAGAAGTGATGGGCTTCATGCACTATGTGAAATTTCTGAGCCATGTTCTTCAGGAAGTCAGATAAGATAATCATAATATTTTCTTCTGGTCTTAAGATCTCTGAATCCATGAAATGTAATCATGTAACATTTTTTTTAAAGGGCCCTTTTCCTGGCTCCTGTGTTTTCCTTTTTCTTTACTGCATGTTCACTTGGTGGCTGCTATAATTCATTTCTGAATGAAATAAATCATTCTTCATTTCATAAAATAAAGGACTGTTAAGGCAAGTTTGCAAAAAATATTTCCCAGTGGAATTCTGGGAACAATATTTACTCAGCAGATTTGACATTGATTCCTGATTTTGACACTGGCAGCAATCTGATCTCTGTAGAAACTGGCACCTTAAATTGTCTTTAGACCTGGAGTGTGTTTGGAAATGTTCTTAATATTCTGTAAACCCAGACATTTATCCCATAAGAGGATTTTACATAGAGCTTTGGTTGGAATTAGAATCAGTTACATTAAATCTGACCATATTTCAATCACCTAGACAAGTTTAAAATCCAGTGGAGCCAAAACATTTTCAGCCATAAAACAAGAAACTTTTAATGCTAGTAAATGTCATTTTCCTCCTGCCTACAACATGTCACTGGATCTCTCAACACAATATGAAACTGCTGTGTAAAGAATGCCAATAGAGGGTCCCTGAATACATATCCACCTCTTTGGACTCTTTGTATTGTGCAGGCAAGGTAAGTTAGAAGACAAATTCCAAACACTGCCACTTGGAATGAAATTTATATTAATCTTCAAGGAAATGCATGAGGAGCCAGATGAAGATGTTTCAAACCAGAGCATTTTCCGTAACTTGTGTCAGCGCTGCCTGCCAGCCTGCCACTGTTTTCAGAAAGGGAAGGGGGAAAGGGAGTGGAGGGAGTTCAGTCTAAGGGTTTTTCGGCCCCCACTGGAGGGTGGGGCAGGTGTATTGCCCTCCCCCCCAGGTGGAGGGGGCTCCAATTCACCCACCCCACCCTCCATAGCTGACTGGGGAACCCTTAGAATGAGTTCCATCTCCTCCCTTTCCCCCCTCTCATTCTGAAAACTTGGCAGCCTCTCAGGGAGGAGGGGCCATTGCTATGGGCAACTGGCTTCAGACTGGCAGCCAACAGCTAGATTTCCTTTCCCCCTAGAACCAAGAGTGAACTTCTGTTTGGTCCAGGGGGTCATTGCAACTCAGAACGCGTCCTGCAAAGCATGCTCAGTTACAGCGGGAAGCTTCACTTTTGTCTGTGCCCTGCATTATTAGTCCCAA